AGAAATAACTCTAAATAGCTGAATTTTTATAAGCATCCGACCTTTATGAATTTTATTTCAGTTTTTAAGAAAGTTGAGGGCAACTTCCTCAAGGGCTTAAGTGACAAAATAAGAAATTTATTCATGACTCAGTTCAACCACTACTTCAAGTATGGCAAACCATTTCTCAAATCATCTCAAACCATTTCTCAAGAAACGAAAGTTGACAAGAACCATGAGCCTGTACTTTTTGTAGCAATCAATTCTCAAGTTGTGATTACATTTTCTATTCATGAACAATCGAAGCTGCTGGATAAAAATGTATGTTGGGCAGGCAACGTTTTTAACAAAAAGTCACTTCTCGTAAATGAAAGTAAACAAGCATTGTAAGTGAATCATTCACAATGTTCAGCATATGCTGCATAGAAAATAAAATTGAAAAAAAGCGAACTATGAGGCAACAACTTGTTGTTTTGAACATAAAGATTGACAGCATCTAGCAAAAGTGTTAAGACAAAAACGTTCATAAGTGATGCTGCTATGCATTTACATACTCAAATGTTTTTCAGTATTAATCATTCTCTCAAACATTTATGAATATTTGCAAAGAGTATATACATTTTTGCTATGTTCTCTTTTCAAATTCTGTGTTGACAAATGGATCATTTATCGAAGTCATTTCACTGAGTATATTTTCTTGCGATACGGCGAATAACTCCAAGATACTCCAAGATATTTTAATAAATTTGGCGTGTCTCTGAGTACAAATTCAAATAAATTTCTGCCCGATTCATCAGCTACAATTATATTTTCCCATCAAAAACTTCCCAATTTTCAAATCATGCTGTTTTTAATCGAAGCTTTGATCAACAAGCAGCATTGTCACGCACGTTACACAGTGCACGCAAGACATACACGAAGCGCGAAACCTTTTCAAAACGACTTCATCCAATCACTGGGTTTTGTAAACTAGTTATCGTTCCAGGTATTTTACATTTCACTGGTAACCTCGTTCTGATTAATTTCTCTATGATCTTTTCTTAAATTTTAACTGTATAAAACAAGTTGTTAGCGTCAAATGAAAGCTAAAATATATGCTAAATAAAGTATGTGTCACTGTCAATTATATGCACATGTTATTTAATATTTAACCTTTTCCTGCCTGCGGTGCTGTGGGGATAATAATAAAGTGTAAAGCGCAAAATTCAGTGACCTTTGTTGAAAATTGGTAGAAATTGCAGTTGTTTCTTGTTGTGTGTTTTTCCTGTAATAATATTTAGAATTAACATAACTATTTTTCTACTTTTAGTTTGTGACAGAATAGCACCTACTTAGAGACGACTTAACAAAACAACATTGCATTTCAGATTCAATCAAAACTGTCCTTTCTAAGTTTCTGAAATTCAAGCTGGAAAATAATTATTTTTCAAACAAGCCACTAGAAACAACTTGAAAATTTACAGAACAGATAAAACGAGCTTTGTAAATTTGTCCAAGCAAAAAGCGCCTGTGAAATTGTCAACGTTCATTAAAGTTGATCTTACAATCCAATGTCAGTATTAATATTGTTATGTTATGGTATTGTTATGTTAGATTATGTTTATTGTAAATGCATGAACTACAGTATATTTCATCTATAGGTAAGAAAGTACTCATACAGTGTAGCGTTCTTAATTATTTGAATAATATGAGTGAGCTAAATATGCAAACATATAGTCGGTTTTTGATTAAGATGCACATTGTCATATGCTAATTTTTCTGTCGGGCATTTTTTGTTTCCGTCGAGCAAAAATTTGACAGCACCCCCAATTTTTTTGTACCCGCACTCGTATGAATATAGCCATACATTTGTACCACGAACGCTATTGTTGGTTTCTCAGCTGTAAAGTGAAACATTTTAATTTCTCAATAGCTAAGAAATTCTGTTGACTTCGGTGCGAAATCTATCAAAACTAGAAGCTGCAATCTAGAAATTGAAGCAAGTATTGGACGCTCAGCTGACTACATCAAACTGTGACCGTTAAATCTTTGTCACTCTCTTAAGAAAATGCAACACTTCTCGTGTGGTAACGTTAGATTTCTTACTTTGATATTGTTGCTTCTGATTCAAGGTATGTCTGATTTAGTTTATAGTTCGAAGACTGATGTTTTTGCAGCCGTTTACAGTTTTTTTCCTGCATGAAGCGATGTTGTAAGCTTTCGGTATTTTACGTTTTGGATACACTATAAAACCACAACTCCAAATCAAACATGTCAATCATTGTTTTGTAGCATTCTAAATGTCTCTGCTTGGCTTCATTGAGTTAAAAGTATAGGCGTAGACGCAATAGACTTCGAAATTAAGAAACAGTAATTTTCCAAAATATCTATTTGCCATAGACTTAAAACAAAAACTTTGCCTTGTGATTGAACTGAAACTATCCATTCACTCAAATTGTTTAGAGAGAATGTTTTTGTGTTTTTCTAAGAAGAATAAGAATTTGAAATGATTTTCATTCTCCCATGTTTCAGTGATATCTTCTTGGCACAAATTCGTATCGTCCGCTTATTGGTTTGTTAGTCACGGCGGAACTAATCATGACAATTGCGGAAACTGGACGGCACCATGTCAAACTTTACGATATGTTGTACGTTTATCAAATGATAACGATGAAATTTATGTTGATTATGCTGATGGGAGACCGTATATGGAATGTAAAAACAGAACGTTTGACACCTCTTCCATTAACTTAAACAAAAGTCTTTCGATTGTTGGGAAAAATGGGAATGCATTAATAGTATGTAAGAAGGGCTGGCCATTATTTCGTGTTCTGAATGAAAAGTTGGACATCATCAAAATTGGTTTGCACAATTTGATACTGAAATCAACAAGTACAGTTGTGGACTGCGGAGTAGCAAAGGCATTTTCATTGACGATTGAAAATGTAACCATCAAAGACGATGTTCGAGGTGTTAGCAGTAAAAAATCCGTGAACTGTATCATATACGTACGCAACTCTATATTTGAGGGTACAAAAGAAGGTGGCATCACCTTGTCATGTTCAAATCTCACTGCAATTATAAAAAATAGCATTTTTCGATCAAGTCCTGTCATTCTGAAAACGGTATACAGAAAAATTTTTGAAAATCAAACTTCCAAATTCTTGCTTTTTGTGAAGAACACAGTTTTTGACGGGGAACATATTCCTATTGATAGCAGTCTTTTGGAGATAAAACCTTATGCTAATGTTTTTAATGCAACAGTATGGAACACCACTTTTATTGACCATAACGCAGGAACAAAAAATAAAAAACATTTGCCTTTGCTACTCAGGGATCAAAATGTACGAACACGTAACCTAACAGCAGTATCTATGAAAAATATCTTTGCAGAGAACAACCTAAATAAACTTGCTGCAGTTAGTTGTACTATTTTGTCCATTGTCGGAAATTCATTCAAAGTTCAAGTAGTAAACAGCACTTTTAGAAACAATTCTGGTGCGTTGTATATTAAACTTTTACGACACGGCAATCACAAACACAATCATATCATTCCACTATGGAATCCAGTTATTTTAAAGAACAACTTATTCATTAACAATGGACGACACAACCCCGCAGGCATATCTTCGGTAAAGTTAGTACAAGGTCGATACTTGATGACCTCATGTCGCTTTTATGATAACAGAATGGGAAAAGACCCGTCTAAAGCGATCATAAAAGTACTAGATGTGAATAAAGTGATTTTTAGAAATTGCCATTTTGAAAATCGGCAAATTGACACGGCAGCTACTCAATTCTACGTGCAAGGCTACTCTCCTGTTTACTTCAAGGGTGAAAACGTTTTTATTTTTAATGCTCTTATCATGGGCCAGACAGTTTTCCTGCGAAGTTCTCCGATAAAAAATTCTCAGCTTTTTATCGAAGGCAATTTCACTATCGTATGTCCGAAAGGATTCTCGCTAGCTTTTGAAAAGCATTGCCCTTTTAGATATCCCTACTTTCATTGTAGGTATTTGTACGTACGATGCAATGAATGTCCCCCAAAGACTTACGCTTTGGAAAGATCAAAATTCACTATCACAAAAAGCAATGAAGTACAGTGCATGCAATGTCCACGTGGCGGAATTTGCAATGGTGGTGTCCTGAGTTCACGACCAAATTTTTGGGGCTACAAGTCTCGATCATCCATCACATTCGCACAATGTCCACCGGGTTATTGCTGTAACCTTGCTCGCTGTGTTACTTATAATAGTTGCCAAGGCAACAGAACTGGCACGCTTTGTGGAAGATGTTTAAGAGGCATGTCGGATAGTTTGTTTAGTACGTCATGCACTTTGAATAGTGATTGTTCTCTACATGTGTTCATTCCCAGTGCGATGGCATTATTGATCCTTTATTTAATTTTCTTCCTTTTCCACAATGACATTGACCGCTTTTTCAAAGAAAGTCTTCACATTTACAGAGGGATTTTTGGGCGACGGCGTTTGCAAAGTGCAAAACGAAGAAGCAGTGGCTTACTGAAAATATTTTTTTATTATTATCAAGTTTTTCATCTTCTACGAAGTGTAGTAGGTCGCGGAAAGCGCAATATATTCCTTACTAAGCTAGAAGATGACGTATTGCGTGTTGTGCATTTAATTCCCGTCGATTTCTCTTCGTTCACTTGCCCTTTTCCCAATCTTCAACCCATTCAAAAGGAATTAATAATACATTCCATTGGCTATTGTTTACTAGTGCTTCTTGGACTGGTATTTTTGTTCACTAAAATCATTTTGATGTCGCTAAGACGCCATGAGAATGTGGATAATGAATTGACAATGTTAGTAAGAAATTTTTCCTCTTCCCCATCCTCCTCAACATTCAAGTCGCGGATTTTCTCAGCATATACATATGTTGCACTTTTGATGTACGCATCTTCAACAAAACTGTGCCTTTCACTGCTTCACTGTGTACGAATTGGTGACGACGATGTTTTGTTTTTGGATGGAAATGTAAAATGTTATCAACCGTTTCAATATGTTCTCATAGGTTACGTTACATCTTCTGTGCTTCCATTTTGTCTCGTGCCAGTTTTAGGAGCATATCTCTTGAAAACAGATCAAATTTCTGTTGCACAGTTTTGCTTTTCGTGTTTAATACCGCTGCCCTTCTGTTGTTTTTGGTCGTATTTGCTTGTGAAAAATTACATCAATCGCAAACGTGGCCTAAATGAATCACAAAAGCCTTCATTTTCTCGTTTTTTACAATAATCATTTTCATACACGTCGCCCACGTAGAAAGCACCAGAAGAGCAAAGCACTTTCCAATGAAAGTCAAATTGACAATAAAAACTCGAATGGTGACATCAAATTTCAAAACCAGTTAGGGCGTCAATGTTACCCTGAAGAAGAAAATGAGTTATTGAATGATAATTGTAAAGTGGAAAGTGATGAAGATAGAGCAAATAGATATGGAGATGGTAATTCTGAGAGACCTCAAGGAAATAAAGAATACCACCAGGATGATGATAAAGCAAGCGTACTTAGAGTGCTTCTTGCTCCATTTCGTAACCACGAGGCTTTCCTCTGTTTTCCTCAATCCAAGATACCATGGGAAGGATTTTTGGTTTTTCGAAGACTTGTCATTATTCTTGTGTTAACGTTTGTACAAGATAACAGGGTAAAGATGATCCTTGCCTTAACAATATGTGTCGCCATTTTGGTTTTTCATACGTATGCGAAACCTTTCGTGAACCCTCGTGACAACGTCATCGAATCATTTTCCCTCTCTGTTCACGTGATTTTGTGTAGTTTGATATTAGTCAAATGTGTCTACTATGGAGAAGATCTGTCGCCCTCTTCCGACAGTCAAAGTATTATTCGATTATTTGACATGATCCAGAATTTTTTGGTGATCACTCCTGTCATAATATTGATGCTGGTTTTACTGTTGTCGATCTTTGGAAGACTGTTAATAGTGATTCGAAAGTGCCTTCACGTTATTCATCAAAGCTGCTAATTGGTTAATGGCTATTAATACTTTATTGTTAATCGTTGTAACTGCTATAAATTATTTGTTCATGTTGACGTTTTTCAGTTTTTTCATTCGCTTAGGTATCAATTAATTTCTTTGATAGTTTTTACATAATGAAATACAATTCTATTCAAATGTTTTCATTTGCTATTGTTTTTTAAAAAAAGCCTAAATATATCAACAGACTACCTAGGTTAGATCTGGCTTTTGTTCTATATGTGATGTTCCCAATTTAACCATTTTCTGTTTTTTCCATTCACAAATAGCACATAAAGAACAAATCTGCAAATCATTGAATGCCAATATGTATAAACCCTATAATTAACGAGAGCAATTGATGTCGTGATATATTTATTTTGGTAATTTTTTTGCATAATTTCCTTCCCAGTTGGTTTTCTATTAATAATAAATATAATCATCGTCCTTTTTTCTAACACAGAAAAAAGGAAATCGAGATGCATCCTTTTGTTTACAAATAACTTGACAACCCTTTACTCGGCAAATTCTTTTAAAAGTTGGTTCTAATTTCGTTTGGATGATTGTTGCAGACCTGCTATGCTGCCACTTAAAGGGTCAAACAATCGTATCGAGATTTGGTTAGATCAAATACATGAAGAGTTTGGCTACCCTTTCGATGTATTATGAATATTGGTTGCCAACATACGCCCGCGAACGGCGAGGTAAGTAACATGGCGACGAAAATCAAATTAATCGAAAACAATGTCAATTTGCAGACTGATTTAAATAGTAGTAATACGCTTTTTAAATTTTTTGTGTCCTATAAGTTTCAGTGAAGCATACTCTTTTGTTTTTTCCCGTCAAACATATGTGTGACAAGATTCACCTACAAAATTGGTGAGGAATGACTGAAACAATTCAATTTCATTTCGAGAAGTTCGTTAATTTCCAGAGGCTTTTAATAAGTGTTTCAAACAAATCAAATGAAGTATTTTTTATAAGAAGTGAATGACTGTACTCTTAACTTTATTGTTCGTATAACTAATGCTTCATTTCTTTTGTACGTGTAACTAACCATAAGTAAATAGTACCAGAAAAAAATTTGAATCTGTTTGTGCATTAAAGAATGTTAAATGTGTTTTATTAGAGTACCTATGTGAGAACTAATCACCAAGCAAGAAAACTTGGGACATGGCGTTTTCAATTTCTCGTAATTTGGATTATCAAGGATTATCAGAGGTGCATACTTCATGTACTTCAATAAATGTTGTGTACGTTTTATGTTTGTAAAATATCAATTAAGGCAGAATAACGTCTGTTTTTATTAGAATTATGTTTACATTTTTCATCCCATTCTGCACTTTAAGAGATAATTACTGCGAAAATGTATTTAAACAAATGATAATGGGCAAAAATCAAATTTAAAGAATCGTTTCACGCAAAGACAGTAAACCTGGAAATTCTTTTCTTGCTCATCTACAGTTATATAAGGAAGGTCATAAATTTAATCTAGGTTTCTATTTTTATTTATTTTTAATCAAAGTTTGAATGTTGGGGGGGTGGGGGAAGGCTGGTTTTTCAACATTTAGCGATGACTTGGTGTTATTTTTGCTCGTTGTAATTATTGATGTTTGCTTTTTGGTATTGATGTTTGGTTTGTTTAAGATTATTGGTTTGTCACGTTTTTGGTGGTCTTTGGTAGAATGCAGTTGCGTAGCTAGCAAGAAATGCTTGGTGATTGTAGACTTGTAGCCTTGTATTGCAAAACAACCATATTTGCACAAGAAGTTGAAATTCAAACTTCCTTAGAAGTTTTGTGTACAATTGTTTGTACATCTCACAAAATTCGCTCATATGCTAATGAAATTAAAGTGTCAACAATCATGAAAAATTTGAGATCGATTATCATTGCTTGTGGGAGAGACGGATTTCCAATGCTATATACTAGTGAGAGAATCACATCATATATCCATCTACCAGTTTTATTTTTGTAAGAAGGACAGTTGTCTTGCTTGTAGATGAACGTTTTCAAAACGTGGTTGTGCAACGTGTTTGCGTTTTCTTGTATGTATGTACATCTTTGTATGTGAATTGAAATTGTGCAAAGAAAAGTAAGACGTCCTTGAATCATTGTATTTCTCAACCAGTTTCTCTTTACCCTCTCCAAACAAGAATTGTCCAGGCTTCAAATATTTCTATGAATCTATGATGATTATAACGCACAGCGTAATGATAACTGTTGATGATACAACAGTAATGATACGAGCTTTATAATTCTAATTTGTATCACCAGAATAAGTAAACTGAAGTCTGTGGGAAGGAAGAAAAGTTATCTTTTTGGAGCTTTGCTGCTAAAAGAATAGGAAGCACCAATTTTACAAGTGAAATTTACGATGCACCTTGGTTAATACAAGATTTAGTCCATGGCAGCGCAATGAACAAATGGATACTTTTTTCAGCCAGAGTTTGAAAGCTATTCAGATGTTTTTTCAATAAGTTTCTTCTTGAGGTGCTTGTGCTGATTCAACTTCCCTTTTACCACTGCTGATATGAAAGTTTTGTCACAACTGACATCTACAAATCCAAGCTGTAATTCAGTGATACTGAAGGTCCTTTTTGTCCATGTGAGCACAGATGCATGGCGTAAAGGAAAAGAAACCTAAAAGCGTGCATGGAAAGATTTTTTGATGCAGAAAAGCTGTTGAGAATGATCGCGACGGACAAAGTAGGCAACTTAAAAATGATAATGATCTTGATTATGAGAACAACCATGATGACTTAGAGGAGGATGTGCCATTTTTATTAAATATTTTAAGTGCAGCTGCAAGTGGGAGGAAATTTTTATTTGTGGCAAAAATCTTCAACGTCCCTTTCAACTTCCCATGTGTACCCTCAGTAATCGTTCGCGCTTTGCTTGATCTGTATTTGAAATAACTTGCCTGAGATGCAAGGACTACATTGCTAAATGCTTTCAAAATCTATGTGCGCAGTAGGAAAGCCGAGTCACCAACAATGAGGTGTCTTCATTCACCTTCGCAATGATCATCTTGTTAAAATTACGAGGACGTAGAAACCACCAGAAGTGCAAAGCTCGTTGTAGAAATTAGTTAGTTTGTAATTAGTTAGCAATAATTACGTTAAATGATTGGTTAATGATAACGTGGGTGTAATGCATATATTAGATAAGCCATTCAGATGTTTTTCAATAAGTTTCTTCTAGAGGTGCTAATGCTGATTCAACTTTCCTTTTACCACTGCTGATATGAAAGTTTTGTCACAGCTGACATCTAGAAATCCAAGCTGCAATTCAGTGATACTCAAGTTCCTTTTCGTTCATGTGAGCACAGATGCATGCGTAAATGAAGAGAAACCTAAAAGGACGTAGAAACCACCAGAAGTGCAAAGCTCATTGTAGAAATTATTTCATTGGTTTAATTAGTTAGCAATAATTACTTTAAATGATTGGTTAATGATCACGTGGATGTAATGCACATATTAGATAAGATCACGAGAGAACGGGGATTTTGGTCACACTTGGTTACTGTTGATACAATCGTGTCCTTTGATATGGTGTATGTGGACCCTAGATTTATAATAAAACATTCATAGAAAACAAGTATTACACTGTTTCTATACAGGGTCCAACAAGAAGGGGGGGGGGATATTCATTTATTCAGCTCATCCCGACTGATATGTTTTGAAGTCGATTGTAATTTCAAAAGAAATTGGTCGGCAAGAGTTGAATGCATGGAAATGCAATCGTATCCCCGCCAATTGGCATTCTAATTTCACCCCTGTTTAAAATGTTCACATGCTCTGGGCATGAACTTTTAAACACGTTCGTCCCAAAACTTTCTTCAACAAGAAGCTCAGATACTTCTTCAACGATCGAGCACGCAGTTAATAATCTTCTTCTCTTAATTTCTAATACAAAGAAGTGATCACATCTTCCAAATTTATACAGGCAAATGTCAAGTAGCTCCTTTGTGTTGGTGTTTCACATATATTGTTTGTCTTCGTAAATCACGAACAATTCGACTTAGAATGAAGCGAAATGTTGCTCTTGACATTAGTAAAGTCTGTTTGAAAGGTTTGTAGCTGTAATTGTACCAAACGTCTTCCCACCATCCAAAATTTCTGCTAAATCGGCGACAAGATGAAAATACAGAGCACGTGTTTTCATGTCTCGTGATCTCAAAATGAGCAATATCAAAGAAAGAGCCGTAAGAATTAGCCTTCTCGCAATCAATTGAAGTGGTTGAGAGTTACTTGCTTGTGTCGTCGTCGACTTCTTTTAAGACGAATTAATACTCAAACAGTGTTCATATTCAGAAATCGCCTCTTTTTTCTATTTTCTTAAATTTTGCACCATCGTCATTTTTGTTTGGACGTTTTAAAAAACAAAGAATGGTAACCTGAAAACGGCGTACAGCTTTCAAAGCGACACAATTATATTCTAAATCTGAAACCATGTGCCGCACAAAAAAATGAAAGTCGATTAAAATATGAATTACATTCGATGCACAAAAATGCGACTTTTAAAACGGTCTTGACATCCCACATTCATGCATCTTTTTTAAATATATATGATACTACACGATTTATACTAAAATATAGTGTTATGTTTGACTGCTGTGCAGTTAACCTGAACTAATTTATTCGTACAGTCATTTCAAATTGATTTGAAAATATGCTAATGTACAAAAGTGAGAATGATGTTGAAGTATATTTATAACAGCGTTATTCAAAGACTATTGGACAGGTCTTTCATCACATACAATCACAGCAAATTTCCTACTGGAGTGTTTGACTCCTAATTCAGGGTGAGTCTGATCTATGATCACTTTTAACTGGCATTTAATTGATATCAAAAGTTACTTTAAAATTATCGAATACTTCCCTGAAATTTCTGGTTTTCATGCACACTATGTCATTTTCGTTGTGACGGAAAGCTGCTTGAATTTTTGTGTTTTCGAGAAGCTCAAGTGAAGTCACTCTACACTTAAAAGAGCTGCATGATTGTTATGTTGACCTTGACAAAATGTTGTCATTGTAAACCTGTCGGTTAACTATGTAAAACCAATAATATCCAAGAAAGCATCATCCTGTCTTAAAACCATTCATTGCAACTGGGCAAACTGTTGCATCGTGAAATTCCGTTTATAAATTTTAAAATATAGGTTTTTGCTCAAGCAAAATGGACTATAGCGCATCTCTGCATGTGCTTGTAGAAATGCAAGGAGTTTATGTTTTGTTATTTAGGCAGTATTGCAGTTTTGTATTTTTTTCACTCAATAGTTTTCGTCTCATTTCGCGTACCATTCGTTCTTTTAAAAAAAGCCACACGTTTGCACCAGAAATGCTATCGTTTTTTTGTGAGCAACCTAGTAAAATATTTTAATTCCTCTGTAGCTAAGACATACTGTTTACTTGGGTGGTGAAATCTATTAAAGGTAGAAGCTGCAATATTAAAATTGAAGCAAGAATTGGATGGCCAGTTTACAATTTAGCTATAATGGTTATTAGTTCATTGGCTTTTTCTTATTGTAGCTAAATCATTTGAATTTGATTTATTATCCAAACCTTTTTGAAGCAACGTGGTTGTTCTTGTCCTTTTTTTGTTGTTGCTCGTTTGTGTTCAGTAAGTCTTATGTTTAAGTTCCTGCCAGTCTCCCCGATATAGTAGGAGGCGTTGCAATCGAAACAGTTTATTTTGTAAACTACTCCGACTGAACCTTGTCGTTCGATTGGTTGTTTTTTTCTCCTTGACGTTCGTTAGTACTTGTCGTAACGTTGTAGTTAGTTTATGTGCAACACGTGTGTTGTATGGTCGCAAGATACGTGAGATATAGTCCCAGCGTACCTTTGATACAAGGTATCGTTGCTGTTGTCGTTGAGTTGTTCGTTTCGTTCGGTTCTTTGTTTTGTAGCTTAGTGCTGACTACAGACAACGTCATACGTTAGAAAGTTGGTAGACCAACTTAGAACATAACCTGCTGAGCAGATCACAACAATTTAAGACTCCAAAGAAAGGAACAACTAACCACACTTCTTTAGAGTAATCCAAGAAACACCACTGACTCGCACACTATACAATAACGTATAAACCAGACAACAAGTATGGCGAAACTGACTTTGACTCCTCATTTTAATCTGAAGATGACTACCGTTCAGGTCGTCGAAACGTCATTCAACATCAACATCAACTGTCCTTATCGGGACTTTACTAACGTGGACGATCTACATCTACCGACATGTAACTATGCTCCTGGGCTCAAACCATTCACTTTATTGTATAAAGTGTTAGTGTCATAAAGAATGTGATCGTGAGTAGATGTGTTCGTTAAGTCTTGTTAGTAGGGTTCTGGTCAGTTTTATCTATGTACTATTGAAAACAGCCTGGACAAGTTAATTCATAAATTAAGTTGCTGCGATCCAAAGTTGATATTTTGTCTTTATTGGGAAGGAAATAGGATATTTTCTTTGTTTTTTATAAAACTATAAATTTTACAGAATCTTTGAGATTCTGGCGGTTAAGAAAGGCTTCTAAAGTAGCTACTTGTTATTTTTTTCTTATCCTTTAATCTAATTGTAAATAGTATAGCATCTAATTTTCTTTCTATTACTTACGTCATTTCCTTCTAACAGGTATATTGGTAATGACTTTTTAATAAATCGAAGTATTGCTGTTAAATCTTGTCTCTTGCTATTATAAGTCGAATCTTGAGTTTACAAGATGATGTTTTCTGAAGTGCGTTTTATCATTTATTTTTTCAAAAAGTCACATGTATTTGTTTATAGAAAATGTACACTTTAGCTGTATTTTGTTGTTTAAATTGCATATTGTCGTTTTGCATGTATATTTTTCAGACGTATTATAAGATTCTTCGTGTCTAAATATGCTTATACACCATGGAATAGCGTTATAGAATACATATGTAGCTAGATCCCAAACGCAATTTTGCTTATTTGTGAGTTATCAATCAAGTGAAGCATACTCATTCCTGTGTAGCGGCAAAATTCAATTGAAATCGGCTGATTAAATGCTGCAGTCTACAACCATTAGACTCTCAGTTGACAAGAACTACATCAAACAGTAACCGATAAATTTTCATCCCTCTCTAGTGAAAATGCATTCCTGCTCGTGTGATCAAGTTAGAGTTCATACTTCGACATTGCTGCTTTTGATACAAGGTATATCTGATCAAAAAATTTTCTGTGTCTGCAATTTCAATTTTTGACTGTTTTTTTTTTCATTACAATTGTTTGCAAATCATTGACTATGAGCATGCTATATTGCAAGTTTCAGTATTTTACGAATGGATGCAGAAATCAACAGTTCCTACTCGAACCATATTGTACTCTGTTCTTAGCAATGTCTTTGTTGGACTTAAACTAGATAATACTCTATGATGGTTATAAACATTTGGGAATAGTTTTTAATATTTTTATTTATCAGCATTCTTGTGTTTTCCAAAGATTAAATAAAATCAAAGTTGAAATGATTCTCCCATGTTTCTGTTATGTCTTCTGGTCACAAATTCGTATCGTCTGCTTATTGGTTTGTTAGTCACGGCGGAAATAACCATGACAACTGCGGAAACTGGACGACACCATGTCAAACTTTACGATATGCCGTACGTTTATCAAATGATAACGATGAAATCTATGTTGATTATGCTGTTGCAAGACCGTATATGGAATGTGAAAACAGGACGTACGACTCCACCTCTATAAACTTAAACAAAAGTCTTTCGATTTTTGGAAGAAATGGACGTGCATTAATAGTTTGTAATAAAAAAGGATGGCCATTATTTCGCGTTCAGAATGGACAGTTGAACATCAGCAAAATTGGCTTGCACAATTTGATACTGAAATCGACAGCTACTGCTGTTGACTGCAATGAAGCGACAACATTTGCATTGACAATTGAAAATTTAACAATCACAGATGATCTTCGAGGTGTTAGCAGTAAGAAATCGCTGAACTGTTTCATAAACCTGCGCAACTCTCTATTTGAGGGTGCAAAACAAGAAGGAATTGACTTAACTTGCTCAAATCTCACTGTAAACATAAGAAAGAACATTTTTAGATCAAGTCCGGTCATCCTAAAAACGGTCTACAGAAAAATTTACAAAACTAAAATTTCCAAGTTCGTGCTATTTGTGAAAAACACGTTGTTTGACGGAGAACGTATTTTGTACATAGCAGTCTTTTGGAGATAAAACCTTATGCTAATAATTTCAATGCGGACAGTGTAGACCTAATACCTACACAATAGCTTTTGAAAAGCATTGCCCTTTTAGATATCCGTACTTTCAATGTAGGTATTTGTACGTGCGATGCAATGAATGTCCCCCAAAGACTTACGCTTTGGAAAGATCATAATTCACTATCGCAAAAAGTAATGACGTCCAATGCATGCAATGTCCACGTGGCGGAATTTGCAATGGTGGTGTCCTGAGTTCACGACAAAATTTTTGGGGCTATAAGTCTCGATCATCCATCACATTCGCACAATGTCCACCGGGTTATTGCTGTAACCTTGCTCACTGTGTTACTTATAATAGTTGCCAAGGCAACAGAACTGGCACGCTTTGTGGAAGATGTTTAAGAGGCATGTCGGATAGTTTGTTTAGTACCTCATGCACTTTGAATAGTGATTGTTCTCCATATGTGTTCATTCCCAATGCGATGGCATTATTGATCCTTTATTTAATTTTCTCCCTTTTTCACAATGCTATTGAGCGTTTTTTCATAGAAGGTTTTCGTGTTTACAAAGGGATTTTTCGGCGACAGGTTTTGCAAGTTGCAAAACAAAGGAATAGTGGCTTACTAAAAATATTTTTTTATTATTACCAAGTTTTTCGCCTTCTGCAGAGTGTAGTAGGCCGCGGAAAGCGCAATATATTCCTTAGCCAGCTAGAAGATGACGTATTGCGTCTCGTACATTTGATCCCCGTCGATTTCTCTTCGTTCACCTGCCCTCTTCCCAGTCTTCAACCCATTCAATACGAATTGGTGACGACAACGTCTTGTTTTTGGATGGAAATATAAAATGTTATCAACCGTTTCAATATGTTTTCATATGTTACGTTGCATCTTCTGTTTTCCCATTTTGTCTCGTGCCTGTCTTAGCAGCGTATTTCTTGAGAGCAGATCGAATCTCGGCTGCGCATTTCTGTTTTTCGTGTTTAATACCGCTGCCCTTCTGTTTCTTCTTGTTTTATTTGCTTGACAAGGATTACATCATCCTCAAACGTGACTTCCATGAATCTCGAAGCCCTTCATCTTTTCGTGTTGTTCACATTGATCACCTTGTTACACGATGCAGACCTGGAAACCACGAGAAGGGTAAAGCTCATGTTTCTAATGAAAGCCTGATTTACAATGATGAAGTCGGCTTCTCGAACAGTGGTAGTAATGCTCAAAACCAGTTCAGAGATCAACCTTACTCTGAGGAAAGAAATGAGTTGTTGAATAACAATAGTGAAGTGAGCAGTGATGAAGAAAGAGATATACGCGAATATGGTAATTCTGAAAGTCTTCAAGGGAACAACGGATATCATCAAGATGACGATAAAGCAAGTGTTCTTAGAGTGCTTCTCACTCCATTTCGCACCCATGAGGCTTTTCTTTGTTTTCCCAATCCAAGATACCATGGGAAGGGTTTTTGGTGTTTCGAAGACTTATTATTATTCTTGTGTTAACGTTTGTTCAAGATAACAGAGTAAAGATGATTCTTGCCTTAACAATATGTGCCGCCATATTGGCTTTTCATACGTATGTGAAACCTTTCGTGAACCCTCGTGACAACGTCATTGAATCCATTTCTCTCTTTTGTCATGTGATTTTGTGTGGATTGATATTAATCAAATGTATCTACTACGGCGAAGATCTATCACCCTCTTCCAACAGCCAAAGTATTTTCCGATCCTTTGATATGTTTCAGAATATCCTGGTGATCACGCCAATCGTAATATTGATGTTGGTTTTGATTTTGTCGATCTTTGGAAGACTGGCGATAGTGTTTCAAAAGTGCCTTCACGTTATTCAATAAAACTTTAAATTGGCTAACGGCTTTTCGTACTTTATCGTGATTTGTTGTAACTGCCATTGATTTTTTGTTCATCTTGAAATTTTTCAATTTTTTTAATGATTTGCTTAATTAACATTTAGTTTATTTATTGATTTTTACACGCTGAAATAGAATATTATCCTGATTTTTCTTGTTTTTTATTTCTTATTGTCATTATGTGAGTGCATCATGATTTTCCATTGATTCAGGTCTTTTTAGTTTTGATTTGTTATTTCGACTTTATTCGTAAGACATGATACGAGCAGGGGAGTAAATGTTGAAAAATCCAACCTAACGAAACGTTTCATGCCCAGATAGTTAACTAGAAATTTCTTCAACAGCTCTAGAACGTAGAACTTTTACGAGGTCCGTCTTGATTTTTAACCACTTGCATTTTCTTTTCCACCGAACTTGATTCGGTGTGATAAGGTGTAGTCGGTGATGGTCAGGCTCTCAATGATTGGGATCATTTACGAACGTTAACTCCAAGTTTTTCATATAAAACTGACCACAACCCCCCTTCTGTACCTCACATTCCACCCACGTAAGTACACTTAGTGACAACCGATATTAATTGTTTGCAGTCAAGCTAGACTAATTTATTCCTTCACTCATTTCAAATCTATTTGAAAATAAACTTGTGTACATTTTAATAACGTTGAAATTCATTCAAAGCAGCTCTTTTCGACCATTCGCTACTGGACAAGTTTTTCTTCAGATACAATTACACCAAATTGCGTATTTCTTTCTCTAATATTTGTACTCTTAATGCAAGGTGAGTCTATTGGAGCGATAATGATTATTAGTTCATTGGCGATATTGATTATTGTAGCAAATTCATTACAATTGAATTTGCTGTAAACCTTCTTAGACGCTGGTTTTCACACAAATATATTTTTGCTATCCGAAAATGCAGTTGTATCTTTGCGTTTTTGAGAAGCTTAAGCGAATTTACTCTAACCTTTGGAGACCTGAGTTTTATGTAAATCTCGACAAAACAAATAGACACAGCAAACCGAGGTCATTGTGATCCTATTGACATTCTGTGAGAACTTGTAAAACCATTAATTCCAAAAATGTATCATGCTGTCGTCATGCACTATACATTATAGAAAATTTTGCATATACCATAATTTTAGGGATTGTAAATTGACCCAATACAATCTTTTTTGAAGTGTTCAAGGTTAATCATGTTTACAATGATTCTTGTAATCATGGCCAGAGATTTGCCCGGCGGAAAAGGGATTTTCATTATAAACGTAATAAGCCAACATTAGACCTTTAAGCCTTCATGGCAATAAATTTAAAAATTAAACGAAACTTACCTTAAGTTGAAGTTTGATTTGAATTCTACAAGTCATCAGCGGGGAGTGGAAGAGTTGTACGAGAGAGCATACGCATGCGCAAGTTAGCCAGATTTCAAAGCCAGCCGGAATCCATTGCAAGAGTGGAAGAGTTTGAGGTGGGTAAAATTCAATTTGGGAATGGGCGTACAACTATTCCACTCCCCGCTGATGACTTGTAGAATTCAAATCAAACTTTAACTTAAGGTAAGTTTCGTTTAATTTTTAAATTCTACTACGTCATCAGCTATGGTCGTGTCAGAGTTGTACGAGATTTCACAGCAAGCAATGGAGTCAGGATGTAATGTGTCTATTAACAAAGTAGTTTGTCTGCAAAAAAGGTTAACCACAGAAAAAGAGATGGTGGCAAATTTTACATACATTGATTATATTTAAAATTTAAATTTTTCCACAAAAGATAACGATTTTAGCTAATTTCGTTTTGCCGTAAAATGGTGGAACCTAGATTAAAAGTTTTCTTAATAGGTTTATTGTAAAATGTCTGAAAAGTGGTTGCATTCGACCAGCCAATCGATTCAACAATTTTCGTCATATCCCCTACTTGTGTTGCAGCAAATGAAGCGGATGCAGCTCGAGTGCTGTGACTGCCAAACTCTTTGGTGTCAATACCTGCAGCGTTTAATAATGTTTTACACCAACGTGAGATAGTATTCCGGGAAACCGCTTGATGCGGTTTTATAAAGCTTATTAAAAGTTTTTACAATTAGAACTGCGCAAATCGTTAGTTCGTTCAATGTATTCCTTCAAGTGCCGTACAATGCAGAGTTCTGGTTCATTAGGGTAGGCTTCATATGTAAATAGAGCAATGTGATGACCAAGTCTAGTTGTTTTGATTTTTTCTCGGATTGAAAATACACATTTCGATTCAGATAGTTTCATGTCGGTTATATTTAGCAGGTGGATAGTTTGCCCTCGTTTTCCACTTAGTATTAGAAGAAGGAACGTTAATCGGATAGTAAGATTTTTTAATGTTAACTCATGTATAGGGGGTTGTTTCCTTAAGTAATTAAACAAAATATTAACATCCCAAATAGAATTGTAGCGAGGGAATGTAGGTCTTAATTCAAATATACCCTTCATGAATCTTTTCACTAAAGGATGTTGCCCAAATGGAATAGTGTGATTGTTGGTCTGGCATATGGCAGATAATGCACTGCGTGCAGAATTTATAGCAGAGTAAGATAGCCCTGAATGAAAAAGGTTAGTTAAAAATTGAATGATTGTGGTAATAGAGGGATTAAAAAATTCACATTTTGTAGCAACACAAAATTGACTCCATTTAGTTATATAAGTTTGGTGTTGGGATTTTGTTCTCTTTCTCCAAGAGGCCATGATTATCTCTGCTGAACTTGGAGAGAAACCTATTGACGTAAGTTGTTGCCTGACACAAGACATATTTTCAACTCTAGCTTTTTTACTAGTGGATGCACTTCTGTTGGTGCAGCTGGTAGTTTGAGCAGGTTTTGCGACGGTGGACAAACATGAGGAGGTTGTAAAAGTATTGGTTCGATTAGGGGATACCAAGGTTGTGTTGGCCAATTTGGTATTACCAAAATGCCTGTGGCTTTTTCCTGTAGAATTTTTTGAACAGTTTGTAAGATGCAGCTGAAAGGAGGGAAACAATAAAACTTTAAGTTGTTCCACGGGATGGAGAACGCATCAATATATGTTGCCTCAGGGTCTGGTCGATAAGAGCAGTATTGATTAAACTGTTTGTTTAGTCGTGAAGCGAATAAGTCAATTTCAGGCTGGAAATTAAACTTGCTCATGGCAATCTTGATACAAACGGGATTTAACCTCCATTCACCTTCACGGTACAACTTTCTTGACTCTTTATCCGCAATTACATTTTTTGACTCTGGTAAATGTGCGGCAGATATTTTGATTTTGTGCATTATGCAAAATTCCCAGATTTCTAATGCTGTAGTATTTAACATGACACTATGACTAGTGCCCATATTGTTTATGACAAACACTGCAGTACTATTGTCTACCATCATTTTAACATGTTTATTTTTTAGATTAGAAACAAACGATTTTAGCGCAAACAGTACGGCTTTCATTTCTAGAATATTGATGTGATATTCAGTTTCATGTTTGCACCAGTTTCCTCCAGTGTACTCTTTCCCTAGGGCGCCCCCCCAACCAGTCAGAGATGCATCTGAATAGAGGACGATGTCAACTGGTATAGATAGAATGTATTTAAAAGAGTCCTTTAAATTTTGTAGCAACCATTTCAACTCTGCTTTGGATTCATCGGCAATAATCATAAACGATTCAAAATTGCCTTTGTTTTGTGATAATGCTAAGGTTTTATCTTTCTCAAGCTTTCGATAGTAAAGCTGTCCAAATTCCACTGCTGGAAGGCTTGATACTATATGACCAATTACCTGAGCCACTTCTCTAATCCGAACTTTAGCGGGCGCTAGAATTGCTTTAATAAGGGAGAGCAATTTTTCTTTTTTACTATTGGTAAGTTGAATTGTCATGGTTCGTGAATTTATTAAAAAACCAAGAAAAGTTATTTCTTGTACTGGAACAAATGCAGATTTCAATGTGTGAATGACAAAACCGAGCTTCTCTAATAAAATTAAGGTTTCTATAATCGTGTCAAGGCACTTTTCATAGGAACAGCCTACCAGGAGTAAATCATTGATGTATATAATGACAATGTGACCTTTTACACGTAATGTGGCCAGAACTGGTTTAAGTAGCTTAGTAAATTTCCTCGGGCAAGAGGAGAGGCCATTAGGAAATGCTGTATATTGGTAAAATTTTCCTTTGTAAAGAAATTTTAAGAACTTTTGAGATTCTGGATGGACAGGTACGCTATAGTAGGCATCTTTTAAATCTAAAGAGGCCATCCAGCAATCTTTTGTGATAAGTTTAAGTACAGTGTGGATATTTTCCATCTTAAAATGAAAGTTCTCGACCAATTCATTTAGTTTCTTTAAATTTAAAATCAGGCGGACACCACCATCCTTTTTAGGAGTGGTAAAGATAGGTGATACAAATTCAGTAGAATCAAATTTACTAGGAATAATTACTCCTTTATCTCTCAATGCCTGAATAGCTTCATCGATTTCGCTTTTTCCTTGTTTAGGAAGAGAGTTAGGAGGAGACTGGTGCTGAACTGGTTTAAGACCTTTAAAAGAAATTTTTGCCCCTGAAACCATCTCAAGAATATCGGGGTCTGTAGTAAGCTTTGCCCATTCATTGTGGCATAGTTTAATTTGACCAGCCTGAAATGAATTAACTTTTCTGGTCAAATAAGGTTTAAGTACATGCTCAACAAATTCTGAAAATTGTGTTACCTGATTTTTTAATAACTCTAGTTCTTTGTGAATGTTTTCCGGTTCTGGAAGTTTTGGGGTTTTCTGGGAGGAAACTGTGCCCTCCCTTGTTGGTATAAAAAAGGTTTGCGTGCCTGTGATTGGGTTGATGAAAACCGTTTTGTAAAAATAGTTTGTGCCCGTTGGCCTGGATTGGGTATTAGATTCATTACTGTCTTACTAGAGCTTCGAATATCTTGAGCACATTGTGCTAGGTCTTCCCAAACAAAAGAGGGCCCACTTTGTGAGTCCTTGCACAGAGCGGTTTAAAATCAGGATGAAGTATGGGCCGAATTGCCTCTTTGCGCTTGTATGAAAGTTCTTTGCATACATGGCCAAATAAAGCAGTTATATCAAGCAGTGTTGGTATAAGAGCTCTATAATTTGGAATTGTCTTATTTTCCTGGCATTGTAAAAGGTTGTCAATGCTACTAGCAAGCCCTGATAAACCTTTGATGGTGGAATCTTGTAGATTCGCCATTTTGATATCCCCTTTTTTAGTAAATGGCTTCATTTTTTGCCATATTTCTTGATTTATTCTCGGCACATACATTTGCTCGCAATTTTTAGGCCGAGGGTACTTATTAAGAATTTCTTTTAATTTGGTAGCGTCAAAATCTTCGCTAAGCTTGGCGTTTATGATTTTTGCCAATTTTTCTGAAATGGGGGGCCCAGTTTGCTCCTTAGAAGATAGTGTTTGAGCAATTTCAGAAAGAAGATCATCGTTATCGACCGCGTTTTCAATTTCTGAATCAATTTCTGGTCCTCCGAACAAACTCAAAGTATCGTCTGATTGTTCATGCACAATCTTAGGGTTTCCCTCAGTACTTTCAGACTCAGGACTTTGCTGGTCAAATGAGCGGTCATTGCCGTCAGAATTGCGCCCAGACTTTGTGGCAATTTTTGCCCTCTTTGGGGCCGAGTGCTCATGCTGTTCGCCTTGTTCGGCTTCGTCTATTATCAATAATTCATTTTTTTCAATAGACGCACGTGGTCGCTTTTTGGCGGCATTATGCTCGTCAAATATACCTTTCAGATATTTATTCGTTTCTGACATGTTAGCCTCCATAGCCGAAAGCAATGAGTATAAACGTGAGTCACCGCTAATGGGAGCACTATCAGGCCGTTGCGGCGCGCTGATTTCATAAAATTCAGACACGGCATGCTCGTCATCGGTTAATGATTCGGATGACATACTTTAATTGTTTCTATATAAATGGAAGAACAGTTATGAACAATAACCAGGGGCGAAACTAGCACCTTTTTAATGGTGGGGGGCTGGGGATGAAATTGCCCTGCAAGGACATAAGATGCCCTGCAGATCATATGGAACAGTACTTACACTATATATTTTTGTAATACATGTTGTATTTTTGTGGCAGAACGCACTTTAGCGTACTATTAAATCTTTAATGGCAGTTTTCGCATCTTTGCAGTTGCCCAATTTTTTAAAATAATATTTAAGTCAACATTGTCCGTAAGATCTTTTTCACATGCAAGAACGATTAAGTCATTTAATCGCGTATCTTTCATTGTGGATCTCAGGCAGTTTTTGACAATCTTAAGCTTGCTGAAACACCTTTCATCTTTTGCCACGGACACTGGAGCGGTCAGCAATAGTTGATACGCCTTGCACACCGTTGGAAAGACGTTTTTGTGTTTGAAAGCAAATAACGCAACGTCTTGAAGGGATTTAGGTTCTGATTTAAGTTGTGATGACACAATATTATTGAAAATTTCCAACTCCGACAGCAGCATTTCTGCATTAACATCTTTTACCGCCGGTGGAAAAAGACTACACATTTCATTAACTGTTTCAGCCATCGGCCTTTCTAGCGGCAGCTGTAAGCTCTCTCCAAGAGGTTTTATTTTGTCGATGCAATCTTTAATGTTATCGGTATACTCGGTAATAAGTGAGTCTAGAACCAAGTACATTTCCTTTCGGTAGAAATCTTTAAATGATATTTCTGTTGTTATTTCGGAATGCTCGCCAATGCGTTTGGGTGGCTTTCTTGATCGATGATGACGAGTGTATTCTGCCATTACGTCTATTCCTACTATGGTTCCAAATGCAACCATTGCCTCTATCTCCGAGTCTAATCCGTTCTCGTCACTTCGAATTTGTCTAAGGTTTTTTACTGTAGCACCAATCAGGTTAAGTGCATCTACTATATTTAGCTCCTCCTCCTGAAGTTGTTTGGTTAGGATTTTGGTTTTTGTCATTATGATTCGCATGAACATAAGAGCAAAAAGAAAGTCGAAACTAAAAAATTTCTTTTTTATTCCATCGCCTTTAGCTTTTACTTTTGATTCTACATCTCGAGCATTAATAACTTTCACAATAGCATTTGGTATTACCTCATAACTTCTCCATACAGCATCAATGGACTCAGAATTGTAAACCCATCTCGTCTTTGACAAGTTTCGAAACTTTAAATTGTTTTCAACATCTTTGCAACTTTCTTCTATAATTTTATTTCTTTTTGTGCTTTTGCTAAAAAACACATATACGTCTTCTAGAGCGTCGTACATTGATGTAATTATTGAGCTATGTTTGCAACAATGCTCGTTGAATGTATTAGACCGTTGTCCCTGGCAAGGGATGTAAGGCACTTGTCGTTTTAAAATTTCTTGCAACACTTTTTGAGCACCATTTAGTCGTCCAGACATTGATGTTGTGAAATCGTATGTTTGAAATGCAAGCATATCTATATCGATTTCATTTTCCATTAAAGATTTTATGACATCTTTAGCCGTTCCAGCAGCAGTTTTATCAAGGGTCTCTTTCATTTCAACCAGTCTCTCGCATGGGATGCCCATCTGGTTGACATATCTTACAGCAACGATAAGCTTGTCTTGATTCGATGTATCAGGTGTAGTGTCTGCAGACACAGAAAATACACCGGCTGACTTAATTTCAGCACGAATTTCATCCCTCACAGATTGAGCCAGCAAATGAAGCATCTCATTTTGTGCCTCTGAGCTTGTATATGTTGTACTGTATGGCCTGAGGCGCTGATCGTCCAGCCACAGCTTGAGAACAGGACAATGTCTTGAGAGAAGATTTACAATCTGAATGAAATTTCCGTCCTTGTCATCGCCTCCTCCTCTGAATGCCAATGACTGCCTTGCCAGAGTGCGAGCCACATCAAGTAGAATCAACATAATTTCCTTGTTCTTTTCTTCATCTGCTTTCTCTTGGATCAATACTTCCTTCATTTTCGCATTCATCATCACATCAATATGGCCAGATGTTATTGAGAAACGAGCAAAATCAGCCAGAGCAGCTTGATGGGACTTGCTACTGAAGTGTTTATGAAGTTTTCCTTTCTTGTTTGCACCAACGCTCACCATTTTCTTCCATGATCGTACACCATTTATCCATGCTGGATCACTTTTTTCTCGTCCTGGCCCACTTGGAAATAATGAGCATACAAAGCAATATTCTTTATTTTCCTTCTGACTGTACTCAAGATGAGGGAAAGAGTCGTACCAGGATGCATTAAATTTGTTAGGTTTATTTTTGACTTTTGTTTCATTTACAGGAAAAGACTTCAATCTAGGTTGACAGGGTCCTTGTTGCATGAGAAACTTTCTTTGATCGTCATTCATATCTCGTGGCCTTTCGCTTGGATCACGAGAAGTAATTTTAGTGCTTTCCTCTAAAACTGGGCAACCAATTTCAATTTCATCTCGCTGTGCTTTGTTGATGACAATTGAACAATTTTTTACCAGTTTCACAGACAAATCTTGTATTTTTTTTGCTATGTGCTTCACTTTTTCTGAAAAGCGCTTCGCGTTTACGTGTCTATCATTATCTATTATCGCTTCATTAAGAATATTCTCACACTGATGAAAAAGTTGTGATAGAACTCTTAACTGTCCTGCACAAGTGATCCATGTAATATCTTCTTGGTTATCTGAATCACAGTTTGATGACTTTTCACTTTGTGCAGCCTAAACGTATAAAGATATTGTAAAAAAGACACATCCAGTAAATTAAATACAAAAATCTGCTTTTAACAGATGAATAAATGACAATTGAAAGATTCGTATTAAAAAAGATTCGTATTTTTATTCTGAACAATCAAAAGACTAATGAAATAAGTATTACATGATTTAATCTTAACGTCTACCTCTTCATTTGAACTATCATCACTCAGCAAACAACTATTTTCTACTGCTCCAAATCTCGCTGCGTGACTGTTAACAGAAGTGTCGTCGTCAACAAATAATGGCTCTTCAATAGCCACACAAAGTTCCACTTCTTCGTTTATATTATCATCTACCATTGCCTCAAATTCTGCTATTTCATGTGTACCAGACGTGTTGTCTTCAATAGTAAACGGATTTTCTGAAACAGCACATGACTCCAACTCCTCTTTGTTTTTTTCTTCATACACAACGACAGCTGTTTCATTTATCTCGTTAAGGCTGGTGCTGCTTGACTCTAAAGACGTCGCACTTTTCTAAACATTAGTTTAAAACAGACTTTATAAAACAAGTCCTTTGTTACTGCACTTTTATGAATTTCAAAACAAATTATAACTTACATTGCACGGCGCAAATGAGAGTCTTTTTGTTACGGATCAACGATGCTATTAATTTTGCCCTTTCCTTTGTGAGTGGAATTATTATGTTTAGAAAAATTATCATTGAACATTTCTTTATTACATGCAGAACACTTAATTTTTTGCCGATACGGCCGTTTTCTCTTGTTCTTGATAACTTTGGAATTTTCTGTTATAATCACAATAAATACCAATCACATTTACACATTTGTTGGTTTCGGGTTTTCCTTGATGCGTACCGTTTATCGTTTTCCGTTCTTACCCATGAAGTGCAAATCCAGCTTAAATTAAAACTGAACTATATTTTCAAATTATGTGGATAACTGTTTGCACGTATCGTAGTGTTTAGTTTTGTAATTAGCCCTGCAAATTCAATCGTTGCCCTGCATCGTTAACATTTTTGGAGGGTTAGTTCCCCCCTCCCATACCCCCTTAAATTTCGCCCCTGACAATAACGTTAGGAAAACGATAAACTTATCTGTAATTAGCGATTGTATCCTTTTTAGAAGATCCTGTGAGAAATTGTATTATTGATGGGAAGGATTATAATGACTAAATATCCTTCCTAAATTTTTCCGTAGCTTCGCTTGCGACAAGACGTACACAACTGGCTAACTTGCGCATGCGTATGCTCTCTCGTACAACTGACACGACCATAGCTGATGACGTAGTAGAATTAGGAATAAAGATTTTTAACAATGATTTTTAATAATAAAGGTTTTTTAACAATGACGTTTCGTCTTTAACTTAAGACATCTTCAGATGAAATGATAAAAATTTTACATGAGGCTTTAAATATGAGCATATATATACAGGGTGCTAAATCGCATAAGAGGAAGTAGGAAGTTTGGATGACAAAAACAGAATGTAAAGGGCAACACGAAGGGCAACATATTAGAGAAGGTGAAGGGTGATTGAGTTGCTTTAGTTGTTAAGAGAGAGTTTAAGCTTAGATATGAGAAGACTTTCATGAGCCATAAGGTCATAATTGTTGGAGGAAGAAGAGAGAATGAAGAAGTCATTGAAATCCACAGAGTGGGATGTGTTTCTTATATGGGAACGAATTGCGGATGATGGTGGACAAGAGGAAGGTTTTCCTGTTAAGGGAAAGATTCCCAAGTGTTTCGATATTCTTGTGTGTAAATGGCATATGGTTTGACCAACATACGACGAGGAGCAGCATCGACACGTAAATTAGTATACAACACCAGATCTCGGAAACCTGGAAACCCTATCCTTAAAATCAAAGAAAGAGGAGAGACGTTTGGAAGAGCGAAAGACAAAGCGAACGTTAATATGAGGAAAACCCGCATTGCAGAGTCGAGCGATTTGATTGCGAATCGGATGACAGTGTAAGCCAGTGAAAGGGAGGCAGAAGTACATGATTTTCTTAGGAGCAATGTGAATAGGATTTGGTTTCAAATATATTGTTGAGGAAGCGGTGAACATGATTATCAAATATGTAAGCAGAGAAGTTGTTTAAGGTGAGCAGTTTTCTAATAATTTCTTGTTCAGTATGAAAATGTTCATAGTTGAAGCAGAGGTTGAAAATCCTGTGAAGTGAACAGGAGACTAAAGAGCGTCTGTATTGAATGGGAATGAATCTATGGAAATTGGTAAAGAGACCAGTGAAAGTGGGTTTACGATAAGGTCGATTATCTTTATTTCTAATTTTTTGTCGAGATGGCGTTTTTAAAAGTTTTATGTTGGCCTTTTATGTTTATAATAAAGATTCTTATAATATTGTTATGTCGTACAATCAAACCTGTAATAAGCGTGCATCCTTTATAAAGTGGACACTTCGGAAACAAACACGACAAAGCGCGAGCTTAAAAATTGTCAAGTCCTGCCAATTCTATCTGCTATCTTTAAGGCACGTGTTTTTGGCCAAGCGAGAAAGACTAAATGTTGCAGGTAACGCATTTGTCATGACATTCAATGTACTTTACATTACGTAGTCCCTCTCTCTTTTAAAGTTTATCGACGTTTCTATATTCTTGGCTTGAACCTTACGTAGATTTTTTCACGACTCTACATAAGTAGGGAGCACAACAGTGTTGTGTTTTGACTATCAACATGGATTTAATTTTCTTCTTAAAACTCCAAAACACTAAATAAGTTGATTGAAAATACCTTACCCAAATGCGAGATGTCACATCCCTTTGCTTATAAAAAATGTACAGTTTGTAGTTTTAGACATATTATAGTTATATACGCTTACACCATGGAGTAGCCTTATAGCCATACATTTGTATCCCAAATGCCATTGTTGGTTTGTGAGCAATCAAATGAAACATATTAATTCCCATTTAGCTACGAAATTCAGTTGAAATCGGTGGGAAATATATCGAATGCAAAGCAGATGCAGCAATCTAGAAATTAAAGCAACCATCTCAGTTTACAAGAACTACACCAAACAGTGACTGATTAATTTTCATCACTCTAGAGTGGAAATGCATTTATTCTCGTTCGATCAAGGTAGATGTCATACTTTAACAATGCTGCTTCTGTTTCAAGGTATGTTTGATCGTAAAATGTTTGTCTGTAATACAACTGTTGGAGACAGTTTTTTTCAGTAATTTAGAGAGTTGGGATTTTTACAACTGTTTGGAGCTGGTGGGCAAAGCTCCGCCAGATGGCGTTACATTTGAACTTTGACAAGTTAAAATATTCAGGTTGCTAGGGAATTAAATTGATTCATTAACTCACAGTAGTTGTTTTTATGTAAATATCGCGCTATTCTTTGACACCTACGTGTACTAACGCTATTATGAGTTCAATAAAAGTTTGTGTCAATCGGCTGCTAGAGAGTGTATTTGGAGAATTTCCAATAACCTATACGGCTGGGCAATGTCACAACCACTACCAACAAGTGAATTCGACTGGCTAACCAATCAAGAGATTGCAGAACTAAACGTCACAGACGTTGCAGATGATAACGAAGAAGGTTATATTCTCGAAGTAGACTTGCACAATCCTAAAGCTCTGCATGATCTACACAACGATTATCCTTTAGCACCAAAGAAAATGAAAATTTCTTCAAACATGTTATCTCCATACTGTCAAGGATTATCGGGATATTTAGACCTTGGTGGTAACGGTGTTGTGCCAAAACTTGTTCCGAACCTTGAAAATAAAACCAAATACCGTCGTACATTATCGCAATTTAAAGCAATACTTCGAACTTGGGATGGTGCTCAAAAAGATTTATCGCGTATTAGTTTTTCAACAAACTCCCTGGCTTAAATCCTAAATTGACTTTAACACCGACAAACGAAGACATGCTGCAAACGATTTCGAAAAAGATTTTTATAAACTGATGAACAACTCGGTGTTTGGTAAAACGATGGAGAATTTGAGAAAACGTGTTAACGTGAAGCTCGTGAACGACAAAGCTAAGTTATCTAAATTAATAGCATCCCCATCCTTCGACTCCTTTCGCATTTTTTCTGAAGAGCTAGCAGCATTGAGCATGAAAAAACAAAACTGTATCTAAACCGTCCCTTTTACGTTGGAGTTACTATCCTGGATCTTTCTAAAGTCCTAATGTACGATTTCCACTATCATTACATGAAGTAAAAATACAACTCTGATGCGAAATTGTTATTTACCGACACGGACAGTCTCTGCTATGAAGTGAAGACCATCGACATTTATCAAGATATGCTTTATGATCTATGCCATTTTGATAACTCGGAATACCCACAAAAACATCAATTGTACAGCACTTCTAACAAGAAAGTCCTTGGCAAAATGAACGATGAGGCACATGGAATTCCTATCCAGGAGTTTGTAGGACTACGACTTAAATGTACTCAATCCTTTATTCAGAAAACGACAAGCAAATGGAGTGGTCAAACCGCAAAAGGAATAAAAGAAGCGGTCACGAAACGAAAGCTTCGACATGCAAACTATAAGGAATGCTTATTTGAAAAGAAACCGACAATTGCTAGCATGAATCAAATTCGAAGTGAAAACCATACCATATATTCGATTAGAATAAATAAGATTGGTCTTAGCCCTATGATGACAAACGTTACATTTTAAACAATGGAATGAACACGCTGGCATACGGTCATTACAACATAAAGCAATTTAGGAATGAATTTGAAACATAATATCAATAGGCTGATACTGTGTAATTGAATTCACCGTTTCGAAACATGCCTGCTACTTTGTATTCTGCATGTGAGCCAGTTTTTGGGTTTGAATAAATTCACAACACGAAGTGTAGGTGAGCTCTTTCTCGTATTACTTTGCAACCACGACTGATATACTTAAAGACAATTCAAAATACACTCAAAAGTGGCAATCTTTTAATGCTTATCATTACTAAACTTGCATACGCGATTGACTCGCGCAATAGCGCATTTACGGTTTATTTGAATATACTAATTATTGCAAACGATGTTTGCATGTTTCCTTTACGTTCTAATAAAGTTCCATATGCAGCAACTGGAGAAGCCACATGGCATTTTTCTTTCTTTTTATTCATAATCGTTGAAACCCATTGCAGTAACAGTAGCTAAGCATTATTTTCGTTTTGCATTATGCGTGACACGACCATCAAACCGTGCACAATAACTGTTTGGTTTTTCTTTGACTAAGAAAGAACCAGTTTATCTGCTCCTATGACTTTGCTCATTGTCATTTTTTTAAAGTACGTTATGTATTGTACAATTAAAAAAAGCCATATGAAGTGAGTGAAGTTAAAATTATTGCGCTGTAGACATTGGTGCTGTGCCCGACGTGTTATTTATCATTACCCTCTTTAACTCCACTTTTTTATCTTTTAAAAATGCGTCAAAATTGGTTTTTCGTAAGTTGGTAAAGAAACTGAATAAGATCAAATTGTCTTACAGCTTAAAGACATTCTCATATATTCTCTTTCGGTTTAACTTCGGTTGCAATGTTTAGATCAGATTGATCTCAAGGACGAGACGAGAATGATGCAGAAAATAAATGTAATTTTCTATGTCACTGATTTCGAATCAGTTCCCAAGTGGCAAGTCGTACAGTGTGCAAAATACCTAGCAGGATTCTGAAATAAAGTGATGATTTTGTATAACATACGTATACAATTATTAATTCGACAACTTCAATAAATGGTGTAGCTATATAGACATAGAAATCAGAAAAGACATGTCTGTCAAGTTTTTGTACTTATCTTTATTAAACTGTAAAAAATCTGTACAAAAAGTGTATTACATTCGGTCATATATATAATAAATTTCTCCGCCTGCGGAGTTTTACTGTTTCCCTTAGTATTCCAGCTTGATATAGGTTTTTTATTTGTCTTCAGTTCATGGGTTTCCATTTTGTAGTAAGTAATCCAATTTCCCTTTAAGATATTTCTTGGAGGTTTAGAAACACGAGTGCTTTGCTTTCCTGCCTTCATAGGCCTATCATATTCTTTCTGTTCATCAAGAGTGATTACTTTTTCATCTCCTTATTTTGTGTGTCGGAGATATTTACAGAAGTTCACTTCTATACTTTCTTGCCACTTCAAAAAACTCTGCAATTGTTGCAATGCATCCAATTCTTGTCGAACAGCCAAACCATCCTTATCACTTGCTGATTCATTTACTCTTGCTTGAGTAAGATAATGTTTTCTATCTTGACATGAAAGTCCATGGACGCCTGCCAAGTGATTAGACAATTTTAACAAACTTTTTCGCACACAAATGGGGCAGTTCTTTCTCATTCGTGGCATGAAATAATTGCACTAATATGTATCATTTACATAAAATATGTCCCTTATGTAAGTCCCTAAGTCCGCGCAGCATAAAGACTTTATTGGTACGTAGTTTGGAAGGCGCTGAAATAGCGTGAAATAGCAATTAATATTACATTACGCTTGCGGTTCACTTCTACCAATATACGCGACTTTGAGCAGTAAACCGATTATCGTAAGCCTGAAAGAACTAAAATTGTTTTGCCACATCGTGTAAAGGTTTTAAATACATAAGTTAATAAATTTCAACCACTTCAGGCAGATAGGCTTGTGTCAATTATTGCAATATCAATATCAAATGTGTTGAACTTTTATCAGTTCATACAAATATACATTCACACTTATTACATAAAATTCTTCGTTGAAATTCTCCAGATACAATCTCTAGCAGCCAATTGACACAAACTTTGATTGAACTCATAATGGTGTTAGTACACGTAAGTGGCAAAGAATGGCGCGATGTTTACATAAAAACAACTACTGTGAGTTAATGAACAATTAATTCCCTAGCAACCTGAAGTTTTAACGTGTCAAAGTTCAAATGTAACGCCATCTGGTGGAGCTTTGCTCCACCAGCTCCACCGGCCGCAAAACCCCTCTTCCCTATACTACTGACATTGCAAGTTTTAGTATTTTATGAATGGATGTATTTTACACAAATCCTATTTTACATAAATCAACAGTTCCAAATCGAACTACAGCGCGTTCTTAACAATGTGAATGTCTCCTTTAAACTTAAACTTTTATAGATGATGGGCTCTGATGGGTATAAGCATTGAAGAATAGTTTTTAGTATTTTTATTTATCAACATTCGTCTTACTAACTATACTTCTCGCGGCATATCAAAGTTCATTGATTACAAATTTCATAGAAACTCAAATTGTTTTAAGAGCGTGTTCTGCTGCCACTTGTGTTTTTTCCAAAAAGTTAAAAAAATCAAAATTAAAATCATTTTTCTTTTTTTCAGTGATGTCTTCTGGTCACAAATTCGTATCGTCTGCTTATTGGTTTGTTAGTCACGGCGGAACTAATCAAGATAATTGCGGAAGCTGGACGGCACCATGTCAAACTTTACGATATGCTGTACGTGTATCAAATGATAACGATGAAATTTATGTTGATTATGCTGGCGGAAGACCGTATATGGAATGTGAAAACAGGACGTATGACACCTCTTCAATTAACTTAAACAAAAGTCTTTCAATTTTTGGAAGACATGGACGTGCATTGATAGTATGTATAAAACGTTCGACATTATTTCGTGTTCAGAATGGAAAGTGGAGAATTATCAAAATTAGCTTACACAATTTGACGCTCAAATCAACTGGTGCAGCTGTGGACTGCAGAGAAGCGACGGGATTTGCATTGACGATTGAAAATTTAACCATCAAAGATGATCTTCAAGGTGTTTACAGCAAGACATCTGTGAACTGTTTTATAAACATACTGAACTCTATACTTGAGGGTACCAAAACAGGAGGCATTGTCTTAACATGCTCAAATCTCACTGCAAATATAAAAAATAGCATTTTTAGATCAAGTCCGGTCATCCTGAAAACAGTCTACAGAAAAATTTATGAAAATGAAACTTCCAAATTCCTCGTTTTTGTGGAAAACACAGTCTTTGACGGAGAACGCATTCTTCTACATAGCAGTCTTTTGGAAATAAAACCTTATGCCATTGTTTTCAACGCAACAATATTGAACACTACTTTCATTGACCATTATTCTGAAACAACAGCTTACCAAAAACATGTGCCATTGTTACTCAGAGATCAAAGTGTGAGAAATCGCATCTTAACAGTAGTATCTATGAAAAACATTAACGTAGAGAACAATGTAAACAGACTTTCCGCAGTTAGTTGTACCGTATTATCTACTGCTGGAAATTCATTCAAAGTTCAAATAATCAACAGCACTTTTAGAAACAATTCGGTCGCATTATTTCTTTCACTTATCTACTCCGGCAAACATCTTTACAGTACTTCAAATAACAGCCCACAATGGATCCCAGTTATGGTAAAAAATAATTTATTTATTGACAACGGACGAAGAAACCTCATAGGCATATCTCCGATACTGTTAGGAAAAGGTCGCTATTTGATGATCTCATGTCGCTTCTATGACAACAGAATGGGAAAAGACCCGTCTCAAGCGATCATGAAAGTTCTGGGTACGACGAGAGTCATTTTTAAAAATTGCCGTTTTAAAAACTGGCAAAGCGATACGGCTGCTACACAATTTTACGTGCAAGGAACTTCTCCTGTTTACTTCAAGGGAGAAAACTTATTTCTCTTCAATGCTCTTAACATGGGGCAAACAGTGTTTATGCGAAGTTCTCTAAAAACAAATTCTCTGCTCTTTATCAAAGGCAATTTCACTATCGTATGTCCACATGGATACACGCTAACATTTGAAAAGCATTGCATTGTTCAAGGGTCCTATATAGTTTGTAGGTATTTGTACGTACAATGCAATGAATGCCCCCCAAAAACGTACACTTTGGAAAGATCAATATTCACAAACACTAACAGCAATGACGTCCAATGCATGCAATGTCCTCGTGGTGGAATATGCAGTGGCGGAATCTTGAGTTCGCAACCAAATTTTTGGGGCTACAGATCTCATTCGTCCATCACATTTGCACAATGTCCACCTGGTTATTGCTGTAACCTAAGTCATTGCCCTACTTATAAAGGTTGCCAAGGAAACAGAACTGGCACACTGTGTGGAAGATGTTTAAAAGGCATGTCAGATAGTTTACTTAGTACGTCATGCACTTTGAATGGCAACTGCTCACTCCGGGTTTTCATACCCAGTGCGATTGCGTTATTGATCGTTTATTTGATTTTCTTTCTTTTTCACAATGATATTAACCGCTTTTTCAAAGAAAGTCTTCACATTTACGGAGGGATTTTTGGGCGACGGCATTTGCAAAGTGCAAAGCGAAGAAGCAGTGGCTTACTGAAAATATTTTTTTATTATTATCAAGTTTTTCATCTTCTACGAAGTGTAGTAGGTCGCGGAAAGCGCAATATATTCCTTACTAAGCTAGAAGATGACGTATTGCGTGTTGTGCATTTAATTCCCGTCGATTTCTCTTCGTTCACTTGCCCTTTTCCCAATCTTCAACCCATTCAAAAGGAATTAATAATACATTCCATTGGCTATTGTTTACTAGTGCTTCTTGGACTGGTATTTTTGTTCACTAAAATCATTTTGATGTCGCTAAGACGCCATGAGAATGTGGATAACGAATTGACAATGTTAGTAAGAAATTTTTCCTCTTTACCATCCTCCTCAACATTCAAGTCGAGGATTTTCTCAGCATATACATATGTTGCACTTTTGATGTACGCATCTTCAACAAAACTGTGCCTTTCACTGCTTCACTGTGTACGAATTGGTGACGACGATGTTTTGTTTTTGGATGGAAATGTAAAATGTTATCAACCGTTTCAATATGTTCTCATAGGTTACGTTACATCTTCTGTGCTTCCATTTTGTCTCGTGCCAGTTTTAGGAGCATATCTCTTGAAAACAGATCAAATTTCTGTTGCACAGTTTTGCTTTTCGTGTTTAATACCGCTGCCCTTCTGTTGTTTTTGGTCGTATTTGCTTGTGAAAAATTACATCAATCGCAAACGTGGCCTAAATGAATCACAAAAGCCTTCATTTTCTCGTTTTTTACAATAATCATTTTCATACACGTCGCCCACGTAGAAAGCACCAGAAGAGCAAAGCACTTGTTTCCAATGAAAGTCAAATTGACAATAAAAACTCGAATGGTGACATCAAATTTCAAAACCAATTAGGGGGTCAAGGTTACTCTGAAGAAGGAAATGTGTTATTGAGTGATAATTCTAAAGTGGACAGTGATGAAGATAGAGCAAAAAGATATGAAGATGATAATTCTGAGAGACATCAAGGAAATAAAGAATACCACCAGGATGCTGATAAAGCAAGCGTACTTAGAGTGCTTCTTGCTCCATTTCGTAACCACGAGGCTTTCTTCTGTTTTCCCCAATCCAAGCTACCATGGGAAGGATTTTTGGTTTTTCGAAGACTTGTAATTATTCTTGTGTTAACGTTTGTACAAGATAACAGGGTAAAGATGATCCTTGCCTTAACAATATGTGTCGCCATTTTGGTTTTTCATACGTATGCGAAACCTTTCGTGAACCCTCGTGACAACGTTATCGAATCATTTTCCCTCTCTGTTCACGTGATTTTGTGTTGTTTGATATTGGTCAAATGTGTCTATTATGGAGAAGATCTGTCGCCCTCTTCCGACGGTCAAAGTATTATTCGATTATTTGACATGATCCAGAATTTTTTGGTGATCACTCCTGTCGTAATATTGATGCTGGTTTTACTGTTGTCGATCTTTGGAAGACTGGTAATAGTGATTCGAAAGTGCCTTCGCGTTATTCATCAAAGCTGTTAATTGGTTAATTGCTATTAATACTTTATTGTTAATCGTTTTAACTGCTGTAAATTATTCGTTCATTTTGACGTTTTTCAATTTTTTCATTCGCTTAGGTGTCAATTAATTTCTTTGATAGTTTTTACATAATGAAATACAATTCTATTCAAAAATTTTCATTTGCTATTGTTTTTAAAAAAACACCCAAATATATCAACAGACTACCTAGGTTAGAACTGGCTTTTGTTCTATATGTGATGGTCCTAATTTAACCATTTTCTGTTTTTGCCATTCACAAATAGCACATAAAGAATAAATCTGCAAATCATTGATTGCCGATATGTATAACCCCTATAATTAACGATAGCAATCGCCGTCGTGATATATTTATTTTTGTCATTTTTTTGGAAAATTTCCTTCCCGGTAGGTGTTCTATTAATAATAAATATAATTATTGTCCTTTTTTTCAACGCGAAATCGTTGAAATCGAGATGCATCCTTTTGTTTACAAATAACCTGTCAACCCTTTACTCGGCAAGTTCTTTTAAAAGTTGGTTCTAATTTCGTTTGAATGATTGTTGCAGACCTGCTATGCTGCCACTTAAAGGGTGAAACAATCGCATCGAGATTTGGTTAGATCAAATACACGAGGTATTTGGCCACCCTTTCGATGTATTGTGAAATTTCGGTTGCCAACATACGCCCGCGAACGGCGAGGTAAGTAACATGGCGACGAAAATCAAATTAATCGAAAACAATGTCAATTTGCAGACTGATTTGAATAGTAGCAATACGCTTTTTAAATTTTTTGTGTCCTATAAGTTTTAGCGAAGAGTTTTTGGTGGTCTTTGGTAGAATGCAGTTGCGTAGCTAGCAAGAAATGCTTGGTGGTTGTAGACTTGTAGCCTTGTATTGCAAAACAACCACATTTGCACAAGAAGTTGAAATTCAAACTTCCTTAGAAGTTTTGTGTACAATTGTTTGTACATCTCACAAAATTCGCTCATATGCTAATGAAATTAAAGTGTCAACAATCATGAAAAATTTGAGATCAATTATCATTGCTTGTGGGAGAGACGGATTTCCAATGCTATATACTAGTGAGAGGATCACATCATATATCCATCTACCAGTTTTATTTTTGTAAGAAGGACAGTTGTCTTGCTTGTAGATGAACGTTTTCAAAACGTCGTTGTGCAACGTGTTTGCGTTTTCTTGTATGTATGTACATCTTTGTATGTGAATTGAAATTGTGCAAAGAAAAGTAAGACGTCCTTGAATCATTGTATTTCTCAACCAGTTTCTCTTTACCCTCTCCAAACAAGAATTGTCCAGGCTTCAAATATTTCTATGAATCTATGATGATTATAACGCACAGCGTAATGATAACTGTTGATGATACAACAGTAATGATACGAGCTTTATAATTCTAATTTGTATCACCAGAATAAGTAAACTGAAGTCTGTGGGAAGGAAGAAAAGTTATCTTTTTGGAGCTTTGCTGCTAAAAGAATAGGAAGCACCAATTTTACAAGTGAAATTTACGATGCACCTTGGTTAATACAAGATTTAGTCCATGGCAGCGCAATGAACAAATGGATACTTTTTTCAGCCAGAGTTTGAAAGCTATTCAGATGTTTTTTCAATAAGTTTCTTCTTGAGGTGCTTGTGCTGATTCAACTTCCCTTTTACCACTGCTGATATGAAAGTTTTGTCACAACTGACATCTACAAATCCAAGCTGTAATTCAGTGATACTGAAGGTCCTTTTTGTCCATGTGAGCACAGATGCATGGCGTAAATGAAAAGAAACCTAAAAGCGTGCATGGAAAGATTTTTTGATGCAGAAAAGCTGTTGAGAATGATCGCGACGGACAAAGTAGGCAACTTAAAAATGATAATGATCTTGATTATGAGAACAACCATGATGACTTAGAGGAGGATGTGCCATTTTTATTAAATATTTTAAGTGCAGCTGCAAGTGGGAGGAAATTTTTATTTGTGGCAAAAATCTTCAACGTCCCTTTCAACTTCCCATGTGTACCCTCAGTAATCGTTCGCGCTTTGCTTGATCTGTATTTGAAATAACTTGCCTGAGATGCAAGGACTACATTGCTAAATGCTTTCAGAATCTATGTGCGCAGTAGGAAAGCCGAGTCACCAACAATGAGGTGTCTTCATTCACCTTCGCAAATGATCATCTTGTTAAAATTACGAGGACGTAGAAACCACCAGAAGTGCAAAGCTCGTTGTAGAAATTATTTAATTTGTATGATTAGTTAGCAATAATTACGTTAAATGATTGGTTAATGGTAACGTGGGTGTAATGCATATATTAGATAAGCCATTCAGATGTTTTTCAATAAGTTTCTTCTTGAGGTGCTTGTGCTGATTCAACTTTCCTTTTACCACTGCTGATATGAAAGTTTTGTCACAGCTGACATCTAGAAATCCAAGCTGCAATTCAGTGATACTCAAGTTCCTTTTCGTTCATGTGAGCACAGATGCATGCGTAAATGAAGAGAAACCTAAAAGGACGTAGAAACCACCAGAAGTGCAAAGCTCATTGTAGAAATTATTTCATTGGTTTAATTAGTTAGCAATAATTACGCTAAATGATTGGTTAATGATCACGTGGATGTAATGCACATATTAGATAAGATCACGAAAGAACGGGGATTTTGGTCACACTTGGTTACTGTTGATACAATCGTGTCCTTTGATATGGTGTATGTGGACCCTAGATTTATAATAAAACATTCATAGAAAACAAGTATTACACTGTTTCTATACAGGGTCCAACAAGAAGGGGATATTCATTTATTCAGCTCATCCCGACTGATATGTTTTGAAGTCGATTGTAATTTCAAAAGAAATTGGTCGGCAAGAGTTGAATGCATGGAAATGCAATCGTATCCCCGCCAATTGGCATTCTAATTTCACCCCTGTTTAAAATGTTCACATGCTCTGGGCATGAACTTTTAAACACGTTCGTCCCAAAACTTTCTTCAACAAGAAGCTCAGATACTTCTTCAACGATCGAGCACGCAGTTAATAATCTTCTTCTCTTAATTTCTAATACAAAGAAGTGATCACATCTTCCAAATTTATACAGGCAAATGTCAAGTAGCTCCTTTGTGTTGGTGTTTCACATATATTGTTTGTCTTCGTAAATCACGAACAATTCGACTTAGAATGAAGCGAAATGTTGCTCTTGACATTAGTAAAGTCTGTTTGAAAGGTTTGTAGCTGTAATTGTACCAAACGTCTTCCCACCATCCAAAATTTCTGCTAAATCGGCGACAAGATGAAAAATACAGAGCACGTGTTTTCATGTCTCGTCATCTCAAAATGAGCAATATCAAAGAAAGAGCCGTAAGAATTAGCCTTCTCGCAATCAATTGAAGTGGTTGAGAGTTACTTGCTTGTGTCGTCGTCGACTTCTTTTAAGACGAATTAATACTCAAACAGTGTTCATATTCAGAAATCGCCTCTTTTTTCTATTTTCTTAAATTTTGCACCATCGTCATTTTTGTTTGGACGTTTTAAAAAACAAAGAATGGTAACCTGAAAACGGCGTACAGCTTTCAAAGCGACACAATTATATTCTAAATCTGAAACCATGTGCCGCACAAAACAAATGAAAGTCGATTAAAATATGAATTACATTCGATGCACAAAAATGCGACTTTTAAAACGGTCTTGACATCCCATATTCATGCATACTAAAATATAGTGTTATGTTTGACTACTGTGCAGTTAACCTGAACTAATTTATTCGTACAGTCATTTCAAATTGATTTGAAAATATGCTAATGTACAAAAGTGAGAATGATGTTGAAGTTTATTTATAACAGCGTTATTCAAAGACTATTGGACAGGTCTTTCATCACATACAACCACAGCAAATTTCCTACTGGAGTGTTTGACTCCTAATTCAGGGTGAGTCTGATCTATGATCACTTTTAACTGGCATTTAATTGATATCAAAAGTTACTTTAAAATTATCGAATACTTCCCTGAAATTTCTGGTTTTCATGCACACTATGTCATTTTCGTTGTGACGGAAAGCTGCTTGAATTTTTGTGTTTTCGAGAAGCTCAAGTGAAGTCACTCTACACTTAAAAGAGCTGCATGATTGTTATGTTGACCTTGACAAAATGTTGTCATTGTAAACCTGTCGGTTAACTATGTAAAACCAATAATATCCAAGAAAGCATCATCCTGTCTTAAAACCATTCATTGCAACTGGGCAAACTGTTGCATCGTGAAATTCCGTTT